GGCCTATGACCGCTACGTGGCCATCTGCAGACCTCTGCACTACACGGCCATCGTGAGCCGCAGGATGTGCCTCCTCCTGCTGGGGGTGGCCTGGGCCGGAGGGTTTCTCCACGCAAGCGTTCAGATCCTCTTTACAGTCCGGCTGCCCTTCTGTGGCCCCAATGTCATAGACCACTTCATGTGTGACCTGTACCCTTTGTTGAAGCTTGTCTGCGTGGACACCCACACCCTTGGTCTCTTTGTTGCTGCCAACAGTGGGTTCATCTGCCTGTTAAACCTCCTCCTCCTGTTGGTCTCCTATGTGGTCATCTTGCGCTCCCTAAAGAACTCTAGCCTGGAGGGGAGACGCAGAGCTCTTTCTACATGCGTCTCTCACATCGCTGTAGTTGTGTTATTCTTCGTGCCCTGCGTGTTTGTGTATCTTCGCCCAGTCGCCACTCTGCCCATTGATAAAGCTGTTGCTGTCTTTTACACTACGGTGGCCCCTATGTTAAATCCTTTAATCTACACTCTCAGAAATGCTGAGGTGAAACGTGCTATGAAGAAACTCTGGAGAAAGAAAGTGACTGCAGATAGTGATTAAAGAGATTCACTGAGCTTTATAGATAGAAGTAAAACAGATAATCTCATCCAATCCTCTTGCTCTATAGGTGAAACGTTGACCCTAAAAGGGACTGAATAATAACTGCAGATAGCCCTGAACGATGGAATAGCCTGGCATGCTGCAGTCCATGAGGTTGCAAAGTATTGGACTTAGGGACTGAACAACAACTTAAGCACAGACCTTGTTTAGACTGGAATCCAGGTTTACTTTCTCCCATCCCAGACTCTCCTCATCACAACTTAATGCTTTTTAATTAATATTTATCTTTTATCTGATTATCTCAAATGTGTTCAGAAGTTACAAGCTAAGAACCCAGAATATTGGATTGGTATTCAAATTGTCTTATTATGAAACATGGAGATGTTGGTTACCACCAATTATTGAAAATAAAATGTTAAAAATATTCATTTGTTTTGAACTCAATATAAATTTTTTTGTGGATTTTTCTTGTTCATTGAATCTTTGTTGTGCAGTGAAAAGAAATAGTATTTCTTAAATGCTTATAAGACTGGCATTGTGTTTGTTATTTTACATATGGTATCATTTGAAGTCCAGCCAGGAGACAGACCACAGTGCAGTTTGAATAGAAAGAGTTCACATACAATAAATGATTGTATCAGGGTATTAACTACAAAGGGCTTCCTTGGTGGCTGGGTGGTAAAAATTCTCTTCCCAGTCCAGGAGACATGGATTCGACCCCTGGGTTTGGAAGATCCCCTGGAGAAGGAAATGAAAACCCGCTCTAGTACACTTGCTTGGAAATCCCATTGACAAAGTGGCCTGGTGGACTACAATCCATGGAGTTGCAAGAGAGTCAGATACGACTTAGTGACTAAATGAAAACAGCTATTAATTATAACAGGCTGTAATGAGCTCTCTAAAGAAGGACCTGGGGCTGAGAGATGAATTTACAAGGAAGTAACATATTTAGAATGTTGGGATTCTAGTCTTATGGAGAAGGTGTAGTTGTTGCTCATTGAATGGTGGAAAAACTTAACTGGATTGCCTTGGGCAAGAAATAATTCACAATGGCTAAAGAGAGGCTGGCAGGCATGAAATGTTTCTGGGGCTGGCGAGATGGAGCCTTTCACTGCAGTGCTGGTTGGCTAAGGCTCATGAACAAGGAACTATGACCTTGAGTGGCAAGCAGAAAAACCCATTTTAGGTGTAGGTGGAGCAAGTTTGGCAGAAAACACAACCCACTCCAGTATTCTTGCCTGGATAATTCCATGGACAGAGGAGTTTGTGGGCTACAGCCCATGGGGTTGCAAAAAAGTCAGATAACACCGACCAACTAGCCAAGTGATCACTGATCTCATTAATCCTTTCAGTAAAGATGCACAAACAGAGATGAACAATCACTTGCAGGCAGTTATTTTAGAACAGATTTAAGCATCTTTGTTATTCAAACTTTTAGCTCTGTAACAGAATAAAAAAAATGAAAAGAGAATTTATCAGAATCTGTTGCATGCAGCTGAAGCTGCTCAAAGCAACTAAATAGAATGTGAAATTTTTAAAAGGTATGAAAACAACTAATGGGAACTAGCATAAAATTTTGGGAATTTGAACAAAGTCTGTACTTTAATTAATAATACTGTATCACATGTTAATTTCCTGTTTTTTTTTTTTTTTTTTACAACAACATAGTATTTCTCAGAATTGGATCAAAAGTTTCAAGCCTCATTATTTTTTTTAATCACTAAGATAATACATTTTCTAGACTTTTAGTAGTAATACTAGATGGCAGAATAAATGGAACTATTATCAAAATTTTTAGTGAATTATTCTGTTAGAAATATTTTCTAATTTTCCTTGTTATGTATTCTTAGATGGGCTTCCTAGATGGATCATCAGTAAATTATCCACCTGCAGTGCAGGAGACCCAGGTTCAATCCCTGGGTCAGGAAGATGTCCCGGAGAAGTAAATGGCAACTCATTTCAGTATTCTTGCCTAGGAAATCCCATGAACAGAGAAGCCTGGTGGGGTATAGTCCATGGAGTCACAAAAGACTCAGACACGACTTAGACGATACAACAACAACAACAACCCCTTAGATCCTCCCATCATTTAAAGGTGAACATTCAATTTCCAGAAACATGAGGTTTTAAAAGAACCTTTGATATTAATTTCTCATGTAAATGCTTTCTTCTCTGCAACCACCCCCTGTGCTTTCTCAGTCTTTTAAGTTTCCTGAGGCTTTCAGTGGTTAAGTCAACGATCTCTTGGTGAATGTCACATTGCACTTGCAGTTATGTGGGTTCTTGTCAAATATCTTTTAATATTGATTTCTAGCATAATTCAACACTGATAAGAGAAGACTCAGTATGATTTCAATTCTTTTATACCATGAAATTTTTGCACCTTGTTTTACGCCCCTGGACATGTTCCAGTGTCTTCTGGTTTATAGTCTATGGGAACTTGAATAGAATTTGTATTTCACCGTTGTGTGAAAATTGTATAAATCTTTATTATATTGAATTGGGTAATAGTGCTTTTCAGGTCTACCTTGTCCTTCTACTTTTCTGCCTATTAATTCTATTATTTTTTGAGAGCTTGATATTAAAACTCCAAATAAAAATCTAAATTTATCTGTTTAAAAATAATTGTAATATATAGTGGAACTATATGTAATTTTGCTCTGTATTTTCTAAGTCTCTTGTAAATGAGCTATCACACTTTCATAATTAAAAAAAGATAAAGACTAACTCTACCAAATGTTGTTGAGGATGTGAATTAACTGAACTTTTATACATTGCTTTAATGTATACACAAAATGAAAATTGATACAGGCACAAAAAACTTTTAACTCTGAATTGTCATGGATCAGTAAATATGTATGTGTGCTAAGTTGCTTCAGTCATGTATGACTCTTTGCTACCCTATGGGCGGTAGCCCACCAGACTCTTCTGTCCATCAAATTTTCCAGGCAAGAATGCTGAAGTGAGTTGCCATTTCCTTCTCCAGGGGATTTTCCTGACCCAGGGATAAAACCCATATCTCTTACATCTCCTGCATTGTGGGTGGATTCTTTACCAGTAATGCCACCTGGGAAGAAGTGTAACACTCTTCAAAGTATAAATGAAGGGTCTAGTCTTTTCTGCATCATCAAAGAGCTTATAGAGTCAGAGTTTGGCACCAGGATAGGGGCAAGGATATCTAGAGAAGGCGAAGCTTTGGAAAGATTTGAAGTAGATAGTATCCAGGGACAAAACCGGAAATGATATGAAAAGGTGAATGAAATTTCAACATGGCAGAAAGGCAAAATCATACATAAGTCAACAAGATAGATAACAGACACCAAGCCACACAAGATGCTTCAGAGCAGTGGGAAAAAACTAGAACTTGGAGAATTTTATGGTGCAGAACTCTGTGGTGTTTTCCAACTCATTCTATAATTGTAAGGAAATTAATAATGATCCCAGTTGGTACAGGGACAAGGTCAGTGAAACTGGTGTTATTGGTTATAAACCTTCACATAGATTCCCACTGAGCATGATCAGATGGTCCCAGAGATTAGTTAAGCAGCCTTAATAAATGGTGTCCCTACTCAGTTGACTCAATGGACATGAGTTTGAGCAAACTCCAGGAGGTAGTGGAGGGCAGAGGAGACTGGTGTGCTGCACTCCATAGGATGGTAAAGAGCTGGACACAACTTAGTGGCTGAACAACAGTAATAACAACAATCACATTACACTTTGTTGCTTTTGTTTAAAACACTCCATTGCCTATGTTAAACATTTTTTCTTTGTAATTCCATTTCTTATTTCACAGGGAAATTTTAATTCTCATGAAAAATATAAAAAGCTGTTATTTTATCAGATAAATCTCATCTCCCTCTTCATCTAAACATCCATGTTCCTCAGGCCATCCTGTTTCCATCATCAACTCATTTCCACATGTTTTTTGTACTTTGTCATATTGCTAATCATTGCCATCAACAGTCAGAGATAATGTCATTCATGTTTATGATTTTTATGAATGGTTTGGATTTATGAAGATAAAAGTCACAAACACTGGTACTCTAAATATAGACATTATATTATATAACAATTTAATCATAATTTTCTTCTAACATTTTAAAATGAAAATAAATTTTTATATGTGAAGGTGCATGTATAATATTTATTTTTTCATTAACCTAACTTGGAGGCACACGTTTCTACAAATCCTTATAGTTCTCATAAGAACTATACCTTTGCATTAAGTTTTGAGATTGAAAGTGTGAATCCTCCAACTTTATTCTTCACTTTTCAGATTTTTGTTTTGTTTTGATTATTTGGGATTTCTTGCAATTCCATATGAAACTTCTCTACAATTTCACACAAATTTTAGTATTTGCATTTCAATTTTTGCATAAAATGGATTTTGATAAAGATTGCATTAAATATGCACTCTAGGGGATATTGTTAGCTTAATTATATTAATTCTACAAGGCTATGAATACAGGATACGTTTATATTTACCTGTGGTCAGTCGCTTCATTCATGTCTGCCTCTATGTAATCCCGTAGACTGTAGCCCACTAGGCTCCTTTGTCCAAGGGATTCTCCAGGCAAGAATACTGGAATGGGTTGCCACTTCCTCCTCCAAGGAATTTTTCCTGACCCAGGTATCAAACCTGTGTCTCCTGCATCTCCTGCATTGCAGGCAGATTCTTTACCTACTGAGTCACCTTATGTCTTCTTTAATTTCTTTTAGTGATTTTTTTAGTTTTTTAAATTTTTTTTTATTTTTTTAGTTTTTAGCGTACAATTCTTCCACCACTTTGGCAAATTTATTCCTAAGTATTTTATTTTTTCTGATGGTACTGTCAACATACTTATTTTCTTAATTTTGTTTTAAGACTATTAATTCCTAGTATATCAAAATTAGCTTATTTTGTATTAAAGCTAATAGTTTCTTCGTGTGTGTGAGGATCCCTCAGATTTTTTTTCTACATAAGATCATGTCATTTGTTAGTATAGTTTTACTTCTTCCTT